CTTTTGGAATTCGGGAAGTGGGTATGGCTGCTGTTCCTGTGGCAATGTAGGGTAATAATGCAGGGTTGGACTGGGAAAATAATATATATATTATCTATAATATATAGTGCCTGTCATACAGTCATATAGTCATACAGAGTGAATCAACAAAAATTTTACATATAGTACATAATACAAATTCCCAAAGCTTTCAAACATTTTTTAATTTTTAACCTTTCGATACTTAGCTCTTTTACTCATGGCCCATTTAACAAGGCAAACACTGAAACGATTTCCTTTGAAACGTGATTACATTTAAGAAAAAATTTATATTTATATTTATTTATATGTCCTAACACAGAAACAACATATGAGATGTCATGCCATAACAAAAATGTCCTGCCATTCATAAATCAAGGGCTAGGTATTGTTAATTCTCGATATATTCTTGATGAAGCACTCGAAGGGTTTTTCTGCTTCCTCATGGTTGTTTTAAGCATGCGGCAGCTGATGGGAAAGGTTTTAGGTATCCTTTTGGGTTCCTGTAGCAGCATTTTTGATTGAAACTGATGACTAACTGATGACTTGCCGTGCGGTTCTTTTAAAATTCATCTTTTCATAATATTTCCAACAGCTATTTCCAGAGAGTTCTCATATATTTTATAAGTCTTATCTTATTTCTGTATAAACCCTAAACGTGACTCTATCTTTGACCTCCCACATCTTCAGTTAATGTTTGCCTTCCTTTCCAATCGAGTCACCTTTTCCCAGAAATGTTTCCAACATGCTCTAATCAAATATATGTAAGCTATACCTAATGCCTATGGTTTCCAGTAGCCATAAAACTGAAGATGAAAAAGCCAAAACAACGGCCACAAAGTATTTTTACATTTTAACTTGAGAACTAAGAAAGAAACGTACACCGAAGTGGAACAACATGTTTGAGCTATAAATTATATAAAATATTAATTAACTCAGATAATGCTACTTATGCGAACCACAAATCTACGAATTGGAAAATAAAACTAATTGCAGCAAGTCGTAGTCCACAGATACAGATACCCTTCAAAGAAGGCTCCGACTTCGGCTCAAGGCAAGAGAAAGTCGTTAAATTGATAGAGGCGCTGGACGAAGGAGCCTGTCTCTGGTTTGATTGTGGGACTGTCACTCTAGTGCCAGGTCACTTTCGAAACTGCGGCAGCAAAGATGACTCACAGTCCCCGGCCAGCTCATCTATTTCGCCCGAAGCCAGCTTATCAGCCAGCGCCATGAATTCTATGACGCAAGCAGCAAATGAAAAGTGGAAGTAGATGTAGAAATGAAGGTATTTCATTTACCTTCCCCGGCAATAGGTTCCTGGTAATCGGTGTTTCCAATTTTCTGCTCATTTTGTTTGATGAAGCGATGACATACATACACTTTGGTCCATATGGAACCTATCAGCCGTCTATGTATTCACAGACTGACTCGGTGTGGTCGTTATCTCTCGCGTGTGTTTCTTCTAATAGGTCGGCGTTAGTCTAAGAGTCTGCGGGATATTTGCATTTAGCTTTCTCAAACATGTTTTCTGTCAGATTCAATGTTTGCTTTCTTAGTTTAAATATAATCACGGAGAGGTATGAAAAAAGTAAACTCTGATTTAGGGTATTAAGGGCTGCGGCCCCGATGTTATCTTTCCATTCTAGTTTCGATTAAATTTTATTACAGCAATTACAGGTCAACGACCTATTATGATAGTGGTTTTTTTGTTGCTAATCTAGAAAATCAACAGGTCTTGGTTATTTTTTAGCTTAACTAATCTGAAAAAATCCCATGATCTTAGTTAGTAAGGCATTTTTAAGAATTTTTAAGATTTTGTCTTTTTTCCGGCTAGATCTTAGAGGGATATTTGACTTTCCACGGATGTCGGTATGTCCATTGGACTATATCTATATCCATATTAAATAGAGAAAATCGATTTTCGTGTCACAAACGGTTACACTAATCGATAATGATAAGATAAATTTCGATACGATGATGTGGAAGTAATCACGATCCTACCATTGACTGTTCGGTCACAAACGAACATTTACCTTATAACATTTACCTTAACCATAAGCGTTGGGCTCTATCCCGGTGGGTAACTGGGTAAGATAATACACAAATTTGTTAAATATCTTTCAAAACTTCTGAAGACTACTACTACTACTTAACTACTTTAATAACACTACCCGACAAAATCAAACATTTTTTTTTCAAGGATACAAACCGACTTTTTCTGGTAGATATGGGACTTTACAATTTTCTAAAGAATTATGGTTTTTTTTCTATGGCAGAACTTTTTTTAAAATAATTTTTTAAAACTGATATTTTTTTAAGCTTTTTTCAGAGGTAGCGCTTCTTTTTTTCACATAACTCGAGTATCTTACGTCTGGTTGTAACTTTGCTATTTCGAAAAGATAATTAAAACAGCTAGAATTTAAGCCCATACACTTTGCGATTTAAGCTTACCGTCTGGGAAATAAAGAGTATTGAAATGCAAAGATGACGATTTTTGTGCGGTATTTTTTACAACATTTTGACTTTAAAAACTCAGGAAAGGTCGAAAGGTCCTGTGTCCTCTATTTTTTGTGTACAGGTGCATTAATAAGGCGTCGTTTAAGGTATTGCTTATTAAAATCTATGGAGACACTTTGGAGCTCAAACTCGTCAATCAAACCTAAAAAATGAAAACAAAATTAACAAAAAATACCTTTTGGTAGGTTGCAGGCCCAACTCCAAAGCAAAGCAAACGAAAAAAGGTTGTACATTTAATACCTGATCGCGTTCCCTTGGTATGCAATTTTTCTGACAGTTATTTTTTTCGTTATACCCAGGAACAGGTAGGACACCTGTTCCGGTCAAATGTTTCCTTTATATTCTCACAAGCGCAGATCCACACAAATTAGATCTTGTCGCGTCTACCTAATCATATTTCAATAAAACCAAAGGAAATACCTGAGATATGGGATTTCATTCCTTAACCCATACAACAATCAGTAATTTTTAGTCTTTTCAGTCAATTCTAACGATATACAAATTTTTTTTATTTATGTTATGTTGCTACAAGTTTTTAAACATTTGGTTACTTGTTAACAATTTTTAAAATAATTTAAGTTTTCTGGCTCTCGTCCTTTTTCATTCTCTTATGAGATTCCACACATAGTCGCACATCATGTTCTCATTCCAAACACCTTGATAAAGTTGTTCCATAGATTTTAATTGTTGATGAAATCTCTCTCCGTGTTCATCACTAACGTCGCCTAGGTTTGTCGGAAAACTTTGTCGACTTTTCCTGAGTTTTTAAAGTAAACTTTTTTTACAAAATACTGCACAAAAATCATAATTTCTGCATTTCAATACTCTTTATTTCCCAGACGGTAAGCTGAAATCACAAAGTGTTTTAATTATCTTTTCAAAATAGCAAAGTTCTTTACAACCAGACGTAAGATACTAGAGTTGTGATAAAAAAGGCGCTATCTCTGAAAAAAGCTTAAAAAATACCAGTTTTCAAAAGTTCTTCAAAAAAAAGTTTTGCCATAGAAAAAAAAATATCTTCAAACCATTTCTAAGCCCCAAATCTGTAAGAAAAAGTTGGTTTTGTTCCCTAATTGTTCTATGTTGTATACCAATTTTTTTTAAATTTAATTTTTAAAATTTTAAACATTTTGTACAGTAACCGAACTTAAAAATGCTGCTATCACGTTAGTAGTCGTGCCAATTTTGAAATCTAAAGCTATATAATTTTTAGTACAAAAATGACCAATTTTATGTAATTTTTACATACAATAAATATAATATTCAAAAGTTTTTTACAGCTAATCCGTTGTTTATATCCTTTTTTAACATTTAAGATACCGTAGAGTCTGATCCTTAGACTTAACTAACTTGCACAAAAACTTAATTGAGCATTCATTACTTACAAAGAAGAGAATAAATAAAAAAGAGTAGACCAAAAATTTAGTATTTTGTAACCTTGGTTTGAGTTTTAGGAATAAGGATCTTTTTATCAGTTGAAAACATAAACAGGGCGAATTCTGCTCAGAATTTCATTACGCGTACTTAAGTGGTGTGATTTTCCGCACACCCTCCAATCTTTCTCTTGTGAGCAGAGTTAGATTTGCAAAAGCTCGTAAAATGTACTACACCAGCAGCAACCGCAGTAGCGACACATCCACTGCAGTGCGGCTGCAAAACGTCATCACCGCTTTTCCTCCGCCTTGATTTTATGGGTAATGCGCAAAGCAGGAGAGAATGTACATGGCACATTCATGCATAACTCAGCTGCAGTCTGGTTCCTGATTTTTGGCTCCTACTGGGCTGCCGCAAATTCGGCTAAAGCGTAAAAATTTTATGGCTGCCGCAGAGCATAGTAGACACGAGGAAGACTACGCGAAGTCAGCGTCGTAAATAAATGTTTGCCCGTAATTAATTTTGCATGCTAGTCAGATAGTAGTGGAGTGACACAGAGTTCTCGACGAACTCTTAAGTAGGTTCTTGTGAAGTCATAAATGACAATGGTGTAGACCGCGCTGATTGTGAACGGCGCATGCTTCAAAATTGTTGGCCTATACTATTTTGACATGCCAAATGTGTCGCTCAATAATTTTTTCTTTGTAGCTCACCATATGCGCACGACGACGAGTTTTAGTATTCAAATTACGTTTCTTCTGATAATTGTGTGTTTCAGCATTTTGCGAATAATTATTTTCTCTATTCCTCTGTCCCCTGCTTCGAAGCCTTACCTATCACACCGCAGACGATGTAGCAATTTTCGTTCATCTGTTGTATGTGAACTTGTATCTCAGTTTAACGCATTCTCTTCTTTAAGAAAGCGAAGATGATTTTTGCAATCTTTTTACATAACTCTAAATAATTTTCTTCAAATTAATGTTTAGTCTACAATGAGAATAGATTAACTCTGACACTCTCCCCCTGAGTGAATGTATACTTGCGATGCACATTTTCATTATACTGCGAACATTTTGATCAGGGCAAGCTTTGATCAGGAATTCGTAATATACTGTTATAAAATTGATATATCATTATTGAACTGATGGTTTTAATAGGACCACTTGCATTAAATTAACGTTTAGTAAGGGCTTGGCACCGGCCCAATGGCCAGTTATGGATGTAGGCCTACGTCAGCGCATCAAGTTTTCCCGCCGCACTTACCTATTTGTGGTGGCATATCTGCTTCTGGCTATAGTGCAGTGGTTAGTGGTTTGTTTGATGTAAGTAATTGTCTAATTCTATCATGTTGGATCATGGATCGACCATATGACCATATTTTGCTTTCAGAGATTATACTCGTGACACTTTTCGTGACAGTGAAATAATTTGCTTTATTAACTTCATCCTGGCCATTATACTGTTTCTCGTGTTTGTATTGGTCGAACAAGTCCGGCACATCAAAATTGTCAACTATATTTTGGCCTTTGTCATCGTGAGTTACTCGAAAATTGCATTACATTACACACTGTCATACTCTCAACTATACCTAGGTGGAGCTGCATATTATTTCGTTGTTCGTTCTGGTAGCCCGTACTTGGGTGCCAGAAATAATTGGATACTTCTTGATCTGTTTGGGCTTCTTCATTTTGTTCCTGACCATTGGCTGCAACCTGCCATTTTCTGTAAGCAGGCATACAGGAACTCAGAGACACTAATTGATCGTCTTTCCATCGCAGATGGATCTGACCGTGCACGTGGCCCACCTTTTCATACTGACCTTCATTCTTTTGATTGTCTCTGTGTATTTCTTAATAATGCATCTCCATTTAACAGAATTGATACCATACGCCTTTCTACTCTTTGAAATGAGTCTCTCTGTTGTTGCATTCTTGGTGAGTTATCCTCCCAATCTAGTTGAACCCCTTATCCTAACCAAATCATTTTTAGTTTGTTATGCTTCATGCCCAGACTATCAAGGGCGATCGCTATGCCCAGATGAGTAACCGCGATACTCTGCTGGCCTCATTGATATTGTTTCACGAGTTTCTGATAGTCTACACGTTGACTTTCTATTGGCAAATCAACTATGCCTACTTCACGCCCGAAGAGTACTCTTTGCTCACGGAGAGTAGTAAACAAGAGTCTATTCGTCTAAACTATGCTGATTACGGAGATGAAAGTAACATATAAACAGGTTAAATATTATGAATATTTTCAGTAACGGATCTCATTATAGCTGATAATGAGCCTGCGCCTGCTGAAATCAGTGAAGCCAATGTCGATGCTAATGGCCCATCTGAGAGAACCATAGTTTTTGCACCCGTTATCGAAGCTCGCGTTGGCGATGCAGAAGCCTGGAATGGTACTGGTACTCATCGAGAGAATGGAAATGCGATCACAGATAGTACGGATAAATCTCCTAAGATTCCTTTGAATGGTATGTAGCTACGAAGAGGATGCATCTACACATAAGTACATTTTTATGTACAATATTTTCAATGAAACTTTAAATCAATGGTAATAAACAAAAATTGCAATTCAATTTGAAGTTTCTTTGTTTTTTGTTTTGTTCTTCATCAGTATCATGTTGGCTTTGACTATGTATTTATAATATTTATGAAAATCCCCATTTGCTGACTTTTGATATGTTTGCTTAACATCCATTGATGGTTTTGGATAAATTTGCAGTCGTGGTTAGACAAAGAGACGCCGGAACAGACTGAACAAACTCCTGCCCCATGGATAGACAGCTATGTATTCCACTAACGATCTGCGCAGCTATCGGAAGTCTCGACGGAAGTTTGCTCTGAAGACCTATCTCTTGCTGTGCGTCTGGTTATTCATGGCCCTTATCCAGTGGACAATTTTGTGCCTTTTGTAAGTGAAAATCATCAGTGTTATCGATCTCATACAATGTTCCTCAGAAAAGAGTTGCGCTGGATATTCCAGGATCTTTACTACATCAGCTTTGCGACTTTTGCCCTGTCCGTTTGCGCTTTTTTGGTGTTCATATTCTTTGAGAAGCTTCGCTTTACGATTTGCTTGAACTACTTTATAGCATTTGTAATCGTAAGTAGCTGTGATGTTTAATGGTAGGGCTCCCTCATTCCTTTCATCTCAGGTGGAGCTGCAGGTCGCGTCCTTGTTTACTTTGATCACTCGCACTTGGTGGGCGGAAATGCTGATATTCTTTTTTGTGTGCGTTCTTCTAATTGTGCTTTTCCTAGTTATAGGAGCAATTCTTCCAAAGAAAGTAAGAGGTCTGTATATTTACTCAATTTTCTGTTCTGAACTGCTACCAATCTTAATAGATGGATCTCACTCTGGATATAGCCGTCTTGTTTATATTTGCATTTATCTTTCTGATTGTCGCCGTCTTCTTCCTTATGTTCCAGCTAATAATATGGAGAACACTCCCATATAGCTTTTTGGTTGTGGAGCTGGCCATTACCATCACAATCCTAGTGGTAAGTTGATCACCTGTAGCTCGTGTGCTCTACTAATTAAGAGTCTGCTAGTTTGTTATGTACCATGCCCAGACTATCCATGGAAACCGCTTTGCCGAAATGCGCTTAAATGATTTTATTCTTGGATCTTTGATACTATTCCATGACTTTCTCATCATTTACTGGTTGACATTCTATTATCAAGTCCACTATAGGCCCATCACCCCAGAAAAGTACATAGCTAGCAGCTTAATTGTTCCAATTGCTGAAATTACAGAAAGAGCCTGGAACTTAAATATTTATAATGATGACAGCTACTATTATGGTAACGGTAAGCTTAAATGTGTCTCATAAAAGGAATTCCTATTGAATGATATTTCGTAGTTCATAAGACTCATCAATCCAGGCATGACAATAAAGATTCTCCTGACATTTGGACAAATGATCGAAGCTGGACAAATCAAGATAGAGACAGAGACAGGTCTCGGGACACTGGATCCGACGGTGCCAGAGATAAGGACGGCACGGCTTGGCCTCAAAATAGAGAAAATAAGTGGGAGCCATCAGAGAGAGTCACTTTGCAGCCAAGACACAGAGGAAGGGACAGCAGTTCGACTAAGGAAGGAGGTGGTGATGAAAATGGGAATAGAGGTAGAGATGCAGACAGAAGCTCGATTGGAAGTGGACATGCAGAAAGAAGTTGGAATAGATTAGAAAGACTTCCACAAGATTTGGAGATGCCCACCCATTATCGCCAAGACAAGCGGCATCCAAAAAATAGAGAACACCACAATGGGTCTTTTTTTTAAACTAAAAATTGGCAAAATGATGACCTGGACCGACCCATTAACGGTCTGGGCAGCTATCGAAGTTTCCCAAAGAATAATGGTACCGATGATGATCGTGATGAGGCGCATTCTCACAATAAAGTTAGATATAGAAACAACTTCGAAGATGCACATAAAGATTCTGTTAGTGGTCAGTGGCAGACTGACATCCCCAACCACACATCCTCACATTTTAATTATTCGAACCTTAAAGAGTATCTGAGTATATCAAAAAAATACGAAAATGAATTGGATCTGAATCCAATAGAGAGCGACTTTTAACTGACCATCCATTCAGAAATAAAGAGGGATTAGGAAGGTCTCGGCTTCGCACGAGTAGATCTCCCCCAAATCTACCTTCTTTTGTAAAAAGAGATGATGAAATTCCTACTAAAGGCAAAGAAGATAAATTACACATTTAAAGGTCAAGATGGAAGTCGATCAGGAAAGCTATACTGATAAAGTTAAAGAGATTTCTGTTGAAACTCTTACCACTACAGAACGTATGGTCCCTACTTGAGTCACAGCATATAAGCGGTTGAGAAAAGTTTATTGAACATTGTTTTAAATTAAACGAATTATTTTTATCAAGGAAACAAAAGAAAATGTCACCAGACCAGGGTCGATCAAAACTTCCTGCTGAAGGAACTCAACCAAAGCAATTCAAGAGGTAATAAATTTATTTATCGAATTGCTGCCAACACAGGGTGCTGCCCTTCACTTACATTGAGCAATACAGTATTAAAACCCGCTGCACTATAATGAGTATGGGTATGAATGCTGATAACATATTGCTTATCTGCAGGGTTGGCTGTCTTCCATAGTCTTTAAAAGCTTTAATACTTCTTTAGCATTTAGTTCTGGGATTATCTTTCAAATCTGAGGTAATAAGTTTCACTGATGGTCCAGGGTTTGTAGCGATTTGAAATCAAATCAGTTTTATTGCCAAATGTGATACATATTTCACAATTGTTCTAATCATTGACTTAATGCGTTAAATAGAACATATAAACTTCGTTATTAATCTCAGCTTTCTTCGTTTTACATTCCACCCTTTTTTTTTACATTTTGCACATTTTTGGAAATAATGGCAAAAGAGCCAAGCACGACAACGACACACAGAGCGAAACAGCTGCTGGTCTTGATGTCGACGCCAGTGCCACTCATCAGTTCCCAGTTCCTTTTATATTGCCTCCGTGTCTTCTTTTGAGCTATTCAGCCTGAATCAGATACACGTGCACGATGGACGATATTTTTATTTATGGCCCTGTTCGGTGTTTGTTCCTGCCACCGCGATCTCCGCGGTTCCTTTTATTACATCATCTTTTTGCTCTGTCCGTTAGTCCAGCTGTCTAATTTCTGCAACTCAAGCCCGTCGCACTCAGCAACACTCGTAAATTTAAATATAGATAAATTACAAACGCAAAATCCTGTTAAAATTTTGTATTAAATTATATATGCCCACAGGAAAACAACGATTAGTGTTATTGGTCTTGTTCTTATCTCCCAATACTGTAAATAAAGCGATTTGTTTGAGGATATTTCTTGTTATATTTGCATACACATGTAATTTTCTGGCACTTTTCTTCAGTTCTCATAGAAGATAATATTTATATTATTTTTCAGTTAGCATTGGATTACTTTATGTAATGAATCTTTATAATTTTCTGCTTCAGTGTTGGTTCCTTGGTGATTGATTAAAAAGTGCCTGCGCTAAAGAAATCGTTATTTCTTTGAACGGGTATGGAATATATGTTGCACATAAACCTAATAGGTGGAAACTTGGCTGGATAAAGGCAGTTCAAAAATGTAAAAACTTCCATGGTTGGAAGAAAACACATATGTTCCCCTTTATATTTAATTCCTTGCAGACGATTTCAATTGAGTGGGAAATCCCTTCAGCCTTGCACGTTTCTCCAACCTTAACTGCACCCAGCTATAGTTCATTCCATCTGACCTAATACCGGCCAGACACGTTTAGGTCACGTACATAATTCGAAAACAAACAAAAAATTACCCGAATGTCATCGGATATTTGCTCTGGCCACGTATTCCATGGATTAAAAATTATGGAGGCCAGCCAGATTCACAGTGCCAGTGTCGGATCAACGATTGTTTAAAGAACTTTAAAATAACAGTTTCAGAGCTGAATAGCTCACAAAGAAATCAAAAGAAAATTGTAATTTAGTTAGCACGAGGTGTTTTCATTTGAGTGTTGTATTTTTTCGCTCTTAACAGTCAGGCTTAATGGATATATAACTAGTTTTAATACATTTTAAAATAATATATAAAATAAATAATACTCAGTCTTGCATAATACAATAATATAACAAATCAGTTTGAGGGGAACTGGGGCGGTGTAGGGAGAGTGTCTATACGAGTATAGATTGCGAAACATTACATTTTGGTTAAGAATTGTGTTATTAGGATAAGTATCTATAAGTCTCTAATTTGGAAACAACATTAGCAGCAGACGACGCAACTATTTACAACTGACTAAGCAATTGGCTGCTATCCCTGATCCTTCCACGGTCCCAGTCCACGCTCTTCCCCTTCCTCTGCCTACTGTCTGGGCAATCACGCGACAACAACAACAACCAATGTGGCGCAATCATCGTCAGCAGCAGCCGCCGGCAGTAAACTTTGTGCCGGCACCACAACCAGATCCCTCTGCTCCGGCTCAGCTTGCTCCTCACGGACCAGCTCATCCGGCATGTTAATGCAAATAGCAGGCATGGCTGTGGCCGGTTCGGAGGCGGAGATGGAGATGCAGGCTTTGTCCTCCTCCGCGGCTGCTGCTGACAGTTTGCACTTTTGCAGCTTATTCAGTTGCTGCTGCTGCAGTTCGTCCTTCTCACAAAATGGTGTGCAGGCGGTGCGTGGTTGATGGTGATGATGATGCACAGCTGCCAGACTAGGGTACACAAACTTCATGCCGTAGGCAAAGTGACGAGGCTGGTGATGCAGAGCCTCATCGTAGCTGGGCAGCCCGGTGGCAATTGTATAGCAAGGTGGGGATTCGATTTGGTAGAACGCCGCTTCATTGCTGTTCGCAGCTGATGGCCGTTGCGACTGGTGGAGGAGCAGGTGGCTGGCATCACAGCTGACCAGGTGAGGCCCTGCTCCGTGCGAGGAATAGGAATCGTTGGCGGAATGAATCTGTGCACGTATATCCTTATCTGAAATGGACAGAGCAGAAGAAGACGAATTCTTTAGTTGAGTTTGTCAGAAGAAAGTTTTTTTTTGTTGGGGGTTTGAAAAGATTCACTGGCTCAATCAGGCTTCAAAATTTCGACCCTGAGATAACATGTCTTCACTGACTCTCATTACTTTGCTTGTTCATGTCAAAGGACTCTTTTCATAGAAGGACTGACATTAAATTCAATTTAGCGTAAAGGCGCAAACGCTTGATCATCAAATACATTTTGAAAGGGCTCCCAATGAGAAAAAAGGAATAAAAAAGAGGCAATGGAAACAAAAAAGTTTGTGCTGACCGGAAATGCCTGCGAGGATTCCAGGACAGCCAAAGTTCCTTCGGAAAAGACTGACAGCCACAGAAAAAACAACATCAACGTCACTGCGCAATAATATGCCGGAAGTGCGCGCGTGGCACAATGGAATGAAATAAAATACACAGACTGCAATGAAATAAAAGCTCGGCGTTCGCCCCGGAAAGCATGCAGCAGAAATCATTTAATTTTTATAATCCCGAACTGCTGCTGCACATGAGTGCGTGTGCGTTGAAATATTGCATTTCAAAATTAAGCAAAATTAAATTAAGTTTGAGAAATTCGCCTTTTGCAGCCACAGCCAAACTGCAAACAGAAACATTCCAAAAATGTTATTTGAAATTAAAATTGAACAACATACATATGTATGTATTGTAAGTGCTCAATGCCATTTGAAGTTATGCTTTTGATTAAACATTTATGAAGCAATTATACGAGTATGCCTGTATTTCATATGTAACACTTCGTTGGGGGCAAACGCTTCCACGATTATTAAATGCAATTTAAGCTCCATTCCATAAATAAATGGCGGATTGTCCAGTCGCTTTTTTCTGATTTTATTTTAACACGGGGCTGTTAAAACTCGACAATTTTTTAGTTCTGCCTCTCCAAACTCCCTTTTTACCATTCTCTTTTATTTGGTTCCGTTCCCAGTATGTTTTTCAATTAAAGCGCATCGCGGCTGCTCCACTCAAAAGGTGGGCAGGGTCTGTACAGTGGGCACGTATTGGGGCTTAAGCCTGTTGAAAAATTTGCGCATTACAATATTAAAAGGCAGTACTGGAGAAGTACCAGTCAGCAGTTACAGTAGCTGGCAGCAGTTGTTGATTTATTGTTGAAGCTGCAAAGGATACATATGTACATGTACATACATACATTCTACATATATGTATATGCTTTTTGTCCAGGACCGGGACTGAAAGCGGCACCGACCATGGACCAGGCTCTCTTCTTTTTTTTACGTTACTTCTTTTTGCTTATTTTCGCTTGATGGACAGTTAGGGTTGGACAAGAGGCATGGCACACACATCCACATTCTGCAGGCTTCATATTTTATGCAAGTGTAAGCCCCCCAGCCCGCTCCTTTCGTGTTCTTTTAAGCATTGCAGATGGCCAGAAAGAAACCCAAAAAAAATAAAGCGAAGTAGTAAAAGGTGAGAAAAGAGGCCGAACCGATGCGCTGCAGTTTTTGGCGCGGAATGACGCGGAAAAAATTAGCACGTCATTTGTTGTTGCCTTTTGTTGCTCCGCTGTGTTGGCAGTTTTTAACTTCTTTCTTTGCATTTGCACCTCATCCAGTTCTTGTTGTCAGTTTTGATGGTCCAAAATGTATGCACTTATTTAAATCCATTGCAATAAGCCGCAGCTGACAAAAGGATATGGTGGATTGTGGCTCTGCAGAGGTTTGGAGATCGGCAAATGGAAAAATGTATCTGTTTATTTATATTTTCCCATATGTGTGTGTGCCATAAATGTCTGTTAAATTTTAGCAGGCAGAACTGTAATAGCTTGCAGGTGAAGTTTGTGGAGGTTCAAAACAATTTCGATAGACAAAAAAAAAAATTAATTTTGGAGACTAAGTATTAGTTTCTGCGCGCCATTCCCTGTGAAACCTTTAATAATAAGAAGTTTTGTACTTCTAGTCCACAGAATATGTTCCTAAGCAGACTGGATGTCTGCTCTGCTTTTTTTCTTTCCTGGGTTTGAGGTAAATGTTTGAAGTAAGGTAAAAATTGTGTTTTGCTCTTTGTGCAGACTCTGTTAATAAATTCAGACGGTCCTTTCACTAATTGAAAATTTGCAAGCCCAGGCTTGCCAATGGCTGGGACTGCGTCCGTGTGCGACAGCTTAATAAATAAAGTGTAAGCCAGGCCGACTGCCATCTCGTAACTGGGCCAGAGACTCTTGTGCTCATGCCTTGTTAACTATTTATAAGGTTAACACTGTGAGACGAAACATAGTGCACATTAAGCGCACACAATTTGGAAAGAAGACAAACTTAGGAACATTCGCTTAATTATAAATGACACGTACTCCCTGAATCTACTTTGGTTATTCTAAGTACAGGTATCCTAGTAGATGTATGTAATATGCTCATAAAAATGTAATAAGGACAGTGGACCATGGAAAGGGATAAATACCATGACACTAATGAAACTAATTTGCCGGATTGGGCGCCCAAAAGCAGCCAACAACATCGCTCAAATTGATATTTTACGTATCCCCCCAAAACCATCTCTGCCTCTGCCTCTGGCTCAGTCGCGTGTCGTAATCGCAAGAAAAAGTTTTTAAGGCTCGTTAGCACAAAATTGACAGTTTGACAGTGAGTTGGCCATGCTTTAATGCCACGGCCTTTTAGTCCAAGAGTCATGACCGATGCAGGTCCAGGTCCAAGAGGCGGATCCTGACCAGAACTAGAATTAGGAATGAAGACAACTCTGGCCAGTCAAAGTTACCCTAGCTATTCACTTTTTCCCTGGCCTAAATAAATCATTTGGCTAATTTGGTCTGCAAAAAGTTTGACACTTCAGTTGGGTTGGGAACTTGTCAGTTGTGTAGGTTGTTCTTTCTATCCGTTCCGCTCTGTTCCATTCGCCGCAGCTCGGTTCGGTTAGGTTTGTGTTATGTTTTTGCTTATTTGGTAGGTGCGTGTGTGTCTAAGTAATGATGTGTGAAGTGTCTAAACATACGATTTATTTTTGGGATTTTGAGCGGGTAGCCCTGTTTATGTGTAACGAAAAGCGGCTACTGGTTGGTACAACAGGTTAGCAAGCAGATAAGATATGTTACATTTGTAAATTTCACCAGTATTAACGAATGCTAGAACAGAAATGGGTTCAGATGTGGTAATCTAGCCACTAAAGCTTTAGTTGCATACCGATAAGAGTTTGTGATTGATTTTGGTATTAGTATGGGAGAGGTGACACATTCAGGGCAATCTTACTCAAGAGATATTGTTATTTTTGATCTCTCTTATTTTGTATATTTTTTGTCTTCCAATTTCCAGTCACTTCTTTAACTACACAGATAGAATCACTTTGATATATGAGTATTCCCTTTTATCACTTCCCTCTTCCCTCCAATACACTTTGCTCCCTCTCCATACATTATCACACTCATAAAGAGGCCAAAGCCTTTGGCAGAAACGAGTCAATTTAATATTATAAATATGCGGCACATATATTTTGTGGCATAATAAACTTGTGTATCTAAAATTACAACAGAAGCGATGCATGCGCCACAATTTTTCGAGGCCTCCAAAATAAATTTATGGTTATTTGGCCATAACAGTTGGCCCTGACTGAAAGAACCTGAAATAAGGGATCGGGCAGCGGAGGAGTCTATCTGGCTGGTCCTGTGACTCTGACCATTTTCTGCATTTTATATTGTTTAGCGAGCTGAATAAATGGCATAAGACAACGCTCTGCGAAACATTTTGATTAAAGTCTTGACATAAAAGCCAAATGTGGGGCAAATGTGGGGTAGGGATTCTCAACTTACTGCATTTCTTCCATGTGCGAAATTTTCGGTAGAAGTAACAACTGAATAGGATGAAGACCAGGGATAGGACCACCAGTGAACTGACCACGCCGATCCACAGATAGTTGATTATCACATGCATATCGCCGTCTCCGAAGACCTGGCCCCACCAACCCGCCGGTTCGCCGCTATCCTCGGCCCGGTCCCGAAGGTCGGCCAAGTCCAGCACCACCGACTTGGAGAGCTGCTCGGTGCTGATGCTGCCTTCATGCGCCCACCCGGAGGGTGGTGCGGCGTCATGCGAGACGGCGGCATTGCCGATCCGCTGAAGCAAGGCGTTAAACGAGTTGAGGGAGTCGATGTGCCGCAGATCGTGGGCGCTGGGTATCTCGAAAGTGATCTGGTTCTGCTGCATGTGCTCAGCAATGGCCTCGGGACTCATGCTGCTCGCCGGGGCTGAGATGAAATCCGCGTACAGCTCCTCGCTTGTTGCTGCCGCGGTAGCTGTGTCTGCTAGAGGGTAATCCGTTGTGCTAATCATTTTGCTTTTTGTGTTGGGTGTTGGGGAATTCTGTTTCGCTTTGGTTTTGGGTCAGACACACGTACACAGTTCACACGCGACACGGTACGTAAACAAATCGTTTGGCTAAATATATACAGTCATGGATATTTCAAAGTTGTGGCCTCCCGCTCGCGAATGCGGTTCGTTGTTTAATGGTACATTGCTACGTTTTAAATTTGTTTTTCGATGTGAAACAACCGCTCGTTGAAATTTTGTGGGATGTTAACGGAATTTTTCTGAATTCAGAATTCTGTTCTTTCCTCTTCCGCGGCCCGAGAAAGATTAAACAAAAATCCACAGTCGAAAGTGTTTTTATATTTTGAGGGTGAAGTCTCTCTCGCTCTATCTGTATCGGCTTCGTTCTCTTGGCTACGTTCTCTTGGCTACGTTCTCTTGGCTACGTTCTCTTATAGATGGGAAAACAAGGCATAATTTTATAGGTTTGGACTACTCAAGGAGCCTCAGAAATTAATGCCTGTGTACCGGGTAATATTTTTTTAGATTAGGCTGTTTTTGTATGATTTCGAATATTCCAAAACCGTATTAAGATAAAAATAAAGCATATAAATAATGCATAATGTATATCGGTAAAAGAGACAATTTCACAAAAGGGCATACAATCATCTGAATGTTGGATTTTACTAATTAAGTCTAATGTTACTTTTACGTTTTCTTTCAACCGAGATGCTGGAAACTGTGCTTTATCTTTGGTTAGAACCATACGCGTTCAATCATTCCTACTTTCTGTGAATCTGCTTTTTACGGGCCCGTTCTCTTGGTCATGCCTTGAATACAATGCTTTCTTAAGAAAATATCACCTCTAATTCTCGTTTTAGGGGCAGTTTTTGTGTACAAACGTTTGAGGCAATGGCAAACAATGTAGCATTTTTCGACCGATAGAAAAATCGTACGACTATAAACTAATTTGCTTGAGGTATGTAAATACATACATACATATGTATGTATGTATGTATGTATACTCGTATGTCGCATTCAAAACCGGTTAAGCCCTCTTTGCTCTTCTCTTCAAGCAGGCCAAAGAGCTAATGCGCAATCGCAAAATTTCTCTATAAAAGAGCATAGTTACACTCTCTTTTCTCTTTAAAAGAGCATAATTACACTCTCTTTCGTCGACTCCCACACCTGCTGGAAATGAGAATTCGCCTTTCTTGTTCAATTGCCGAATTATGAAGAATGGGTGTGTTCCAACTCCAAACGGTAGGGGTTTTGTAAACTATCAGGAAAACATACATACGTAGTTTTCCAGCAACTAGTTTCGGCAGACTTGTAATTGCTTTAGGAAATTGCAATAGATACCCGATAATGATAATAAGCACTTTGGGCCAAAGTCACTAGATAAATGCATTAAGAACTTTTCCAGGCCTCGGCGTAAACTTCTGCGAAGAAGTGCAGTGCACTTTGGTGGTGGTGGCCCCAGGTGGTGTCGCTTATCGTTAATTAGCTTTTGACTAATTTGGAGATTAAACATAACCTGCTCCCAATTGTATGCTTTCGAGAGTAAATAAATATAGAATGGTATTGGTGGAGATTGGGAGGCAAAAATTCTGTGGATTCTAAGCCATAACCTGTTAATATTCACTTGTGTCCACATAATTAAATTTAAAAAAAACGTAAATTTTGAGCCCCTTATAAGATGCATACTTTATTTAAGAGACAGTCCAGGGACAGCGTGGATGATTTTCATCTGACAAGGAAACAGAAGCTGAAGACAGACAAGTTTTGAATGCGTCGAAGAAAACTCGTACAAAATACTCGTTGCTAAATTTGCTACCTTAATGCGGAACGGCAACAAGTACATATGTATGCAGATGCTGTATGGCACCAAAATAAAAGTAAATTCATTAAAAACTCCATCGTTAAAACTCCTGAAACCTCACCTCACTTCAATGACGTGAGATAGCTGGGGAAAAATGTAAAACTTGTGTTTTGTTTTACTAACTAACTAGAAGTAAACCATAAACCAGGCTAGATAGAAGGAGCGAAGAAAATAGACTGCATCAAAAGGAGACTGTGTTTCCCCTTTTCCCTCAACCATCTTTTTTATCTTATCTTGTTTCACTGAGCTTCTATCAGACTTCACTTACATACTCTTTAACATGTCAACACGTCAGCCGTGTTTGTGTATCTGTGTGCGGTATATCTTTGTGTGTATGCAGTATAACGGTGTTGTTGCATGGAAGGAGTGTGACATAGTGACATAATAAAATGTTACTTTAGTTAGCAGTTTAGACGGGAAAAAACGTATGAAAGATGTGTTTTCTGACTAGTTGATGCTGCATAAGTAAACTGGGCTTTTATGAATGTATTTTTGCTAAGAGTTCCTTCCACAGCTGTGGAAGAAGGGAAAAGAAACGAGTTTTTCAGAAAAATACTGAGAATAAGCTTTAACAAAATGTTGTGTTGGTTCGATTCTATTCAATCCCAGCTACAAAATCTTATTTTCCTTTTTACCTTAGCTACATGGAACTCATTTCCATTATATAGCATAATTGCCAACGATTAACATAAATCAATCAAAGGTAACAAAGTATCTTTGGGTTGATGAGAAGCATGTAAATGACTGTGAAATCGCGCAGAAGCTTTAGGATGCAATGAAATGGAATGCAAACAATGGCAAAGAAAATTCAGTCATAAGCCGTCGCCAACGTCGCTGCTTGCCCAAACAAATAACATTGCATAAGTCGTGCTGCAGTTGTTGTTATTTTTGTTTTTGCAGGGCTAACTGGAATTGTGAGTATTGTACGAGTATGTGCGCTTGATTAGCGCTGACAACATATGCAGGCATCGCTTCAGACAACGGATAGCCCATGGCTAGACCACAAAAAGGACTGCCAACATGACTCTGTTGAGAAACACAACAAAAAGGACACATTTTTTAGGGAGCTACATATTGTGACAAGAACAACAAATGTACAGGCCCAATAATTCTTGCATACTCGTACAACTAAACAAAGGGACGGGCCGCTATCATGAAGCAGTTCTAAAAGGATTTGCAGTTGAAATATCCTCATGACAATGCTGCTTTAGGTTATAGCTAGACAGAGAGTAGACGCCACAAAATTAACCACTATTTTTTTTGGCACCACAGCATGTTTTAGCCAAACAGCTGAATAGCTCATGCAGATGTTTTAAGAAAAATCCGTCCTTAGAATCCATAGTTCTGAGTGTTAAGTAAATTACTATAACACCGTACTTGTCTACCGTCCGATGTGGACTGTGACGAAAACCTTAACCTATTCTTAGAGACTCGTTAGAATGTTACTTAAGTTCACTCCATGAATCTTGGTTCAAGACATATAATGTGATGATTTAAAAATGAAGAAAAATCAAATTTATTTAATTTGTATTTCTACGACATATATTTTTTCTCAACGACTTTTTGCAACTGTTGCACCTGGAACCATTTTCACTGTTCGAGGCTAATTAATCTATTTCAAGAGCATTCCTTGCTATTTCGACCTACATTTTTTTCCTATTCATTGATGCCTTCTCTATGCCACATGGTATATGACCCTTCTCTTCCCCTCTCGTATGTCTCAAAAGTTTTTGCTACCTCTTGCCTGCTTATTACAAACAGGCTCAGAACAAATTTATTTCCCATAATTTAAGTGTGGCAACAAAGACTGACTCAAAAAATATAAACAAATTCAAAGAGCCAGAGCCGCGACATGGTCGTGCCGCTGTCTCCGGCTGTGGCATCCGGAAACTGGTGCACGCTTCCGCCTTTGTGCCTTAAAATTAATGAGCTGAGCAGCGTTGGCAGCGTAGGCATCGCCACACTTTTCGCAACTAATTCCCAACAACTTGTTACAGCAGCAAAACTTTTGCAGCACATCAGGTTCGGAATGGGCAGGAGAAGATGGAGAATGAACACTTGAAAAGGACCTACGACCTTCGTGCCAGTTCCTGCCTCACGCCGCACGTATCCGTATCCGTGTCTATCCTCTTCTCACACCCTCGCCCTTCCCACTATCGTGGTTTTCCGTTATTTGCGCAAAATTTTCGCTTCAAAGTTTGCTTATTGTTTACGTGCGTTGCTTCATTAAGACCCGACAAGGTGAGGGGCGGTGGTTGTGTATTATCCTGTTCGATTAGTTGACATACGGATGCGCACCCGTATAGTTACTGGCATATAAGGGTCAAAAGAAATATAATTGACCCAATTGGCACCGCAAACTTACAACTGTATAGTTAAGATTTCAAAAGGCGCGAGTTTAATTCTTTTTGATATAGAGTGTTGCATACTTGTATATGTGTAAATGTTTAGGGAAACTATGTGACTAATAAAATGCGAACTTATGATTGCATACAAAATTGATTATTAAATATTAAGTAAGTAAATTATATTTTTTATTTATACATACTTACTTACTTATATATATACCATATTACTCTACATAAATAAAATAAAAATAAAATGAAATAAAAATTGACATGGCTATGTCCACTCAGATTGTCGTCCTTATCAATATATTGTCAGGTTATTGTACTTCAAACATTTCGCAAATGTAAGGGTATAAAACGAAAATTTAAAATAACAAATTGTAAAGGCTGTAAAAATAACGTTCTAATAAAAAAGATAAGCGGAAAGACACAAGCCTTGCCTTGATCGGCGAATATGTATATTGAGCAAGAACTAACTCTCCAGGGAATACTATTAAGCGAATTGGTTTTATATAATTAGAAAACTTTGCGACTTTTCAAATAATTCGCTTAATCACTTGAAGTGCACCAAATGACGACGACCAAGTTTGTCGACAATGCCAATGACGGCCTTCTGGCCCTTAATTTCACAACTGGCAACTGGAACCAACAACCAACCAACAGCCAATAAAATGTAACTATCCAAATCGCATAAGAACTCGTAAGCGACTGCTTGAATTTGGGGTGGAAATAATGAAATTTTCGAAGAGAGCATGCAAATAATTATAGTTGTACTTGTGTATTCAGAAACACAATTAACTAACATTCGTTAGACTTCTTCTTTGCTAATCTAAGCGGATCAGCAACAGTTTTTATTGGTCTAGTTATGTAACCAATCGTGTAATACAAAAAATAATAACAATGATATATTTAAACTAACTGTTTAAAATTGTAGCAAATGATTACCACATTACCGACAGAAAATGAACTCTATAACGGTTTCAAGTTGCAGCAATAGCTGCTAGCCGTTAGGTGCCAAAGTTCTGTTGCAAACTTGAAAACATAAAAAATATACCCACTTCCTGTGACTGCAATTTCCGGTAATATGAAAAGCCCACAATAAGTACAACA